TTAGAACATTCAGATTATCTAACTCAAGTAATACTAGTCCTAGAGAAAAGAGATCCGACTTTAAACATTAAAATTAAATTAAAAATTTAAAGATTAATTTTTTTTTAAAAACCTGAATTCTGGATTATCCTTTTTCTACCTCTGGAGCGAAATAAGTATCAGTTCCTTTCTATAGATTAAAATAATCTAAGATTAATTTTAAATAATATTTTGATGTTTACCTTTGATAGGTAATGGCTTTTCGATTTTGTTACTGCAGATGCAAATCCCAAATCACCTTGATTATCAATAATTTTTTAAATTGATAAATTTTGTAAAAATCTAAATTTTTTACAGATTTTGATTGTAAATCCATAAGTTTGAGAAGCACAAACTAGGAAATTATGAGGCTTGATGTCTCTATGCATGATATTTTTGATATGGAGGGTATTTAATCCTTCTAACATTTGAATAGCTATTATTTCCTTTATTTCTTGAGATGGAAGTTATGTGTTTCTTAAATAATCGAAGAGCTGTTTAAGATTTTCTATTTATAAAATACAAACAAATATTTTGTAATATTTATGAAATTAAACAAAAGTATTTAAAATTTGTTATATATAAATTTAAAGACATATTTTAATGTAAAAATGTTTATAATAAATAATATTAAAGTTTTTGACAAAAATAAAAATTATTATTAAAAAAATATTTTATTAATAAGGTATTTTGTTGAATTTAAATTATTTAAAACTATATTCATAAAATTTTGTTAATTATTAAAAAATTAAATTTATAATTATAATATTGGGTTAATAGATTATAAAATTTTGATTAATTAATAATCTTCTAGAACATTTAATTAAGAAACCTTCTAAAATTCAATAGAAATTTAATTAAAGATGCCTTCTTTTTGGGGGGAATTTAAAAAATTAAAAGTAATAAAATTTTATAAAATAAATAATTTCTATTATAATTAGTTATCAAATTAAATAAATTAGCTTAACTCAAATCTATTTCTACTTCAAAAGTAATCAAATCCAAAAAGACTTAGAAAAAATATGAATTTGACTTTTTTAAAATGACAGAACTTCAATAATCATAAATGGTGTAAAAAATAAAACAGCATCATATTTTTTTAGCTTTTTCATGTAGATTTTTTAAAAAATTGGGGGTGAAAAAAATAGAGGAAAAATAATATTTTAAATACATTCGCAAAGCTCCATTTCCATCACAAAAAAGGACTTCTCTTTTGTTAAGATGGGTTTTTCATTTCCATTTTTATCCACTTCTACATCTTCATCCATTAGATAGAAGCAATCATAGACATTTACCAAAAAATCAGATTAGCTGAATTTCTGAAGCAATTCATATTCTTTTTTCAAAGATTCGATGCCTTTCAAACCCTCTTTGCTAGTACATGTTAGGAATTTAAGGGCAACCATGCGATTACTCTTAATATTTTTAGCCTTCAAGACGAGGGCATAAGCACCGCTGCTTAAGTATTCGAAATTTTAGAAATATTTTTTCTGGTTGAGGATCAATTTGATTATTTCTTTCAAAGCATGCTTTTGTATCTGACAATCCTTGGGGATCTTTTCTGATATTCCTCTTACTAACTATTTATAAAATTCTATGGACTTTTTTGATTTTGATTAATCTTATCCCATTGAGGTAAGGAGTTGTTGGCTAGGCTATTAACTTTTTAAGAATAGGCTGTGAACTATGCTTTTTTACTAAAAAGAGTTGTTTTTGTTTTGATGTGAAAATAATATATATATGCAAAAGATATTTTGACTATCACTATTTATAGAGATTAACTCAAAGAAATTCGATTAATTTAGTTGATAAAAAAAGCAGCCTAATCAAGATCAAGATTAAGTTTTTATTAGTTTTCAAATATAATAGCATCTCTCAAATAATATCATTAAATAAATAAATGTAAATTAATAAAAATAATATTAATTTTTTATAAAAAAATGTAATAAAATAATATATTGAAAGATTATAATAAAACATAATTTATATTAAAATAAAAAAGTAATAATTATATAAACAAAAAACCACATGTGATAATAAAATAAAATTGTTTTATTTTAATAGTAAGTGTAAAATAAATAAAAATTAAATTATTTTAAATATTTAAATTGGCTAATTCATTTAAAATATTAATAGAAATAAAAAAAAAAAAAAGATTCACTATTTTCTATTTTCGAAAAGTAACTAATTAATTTTATGAAATAAGTGGGGTAGCCAAAATAATTTTCTTAAGAAAAAAAGAATGAATTAATCATTCATCACAAGCAAATAGCCTTATTCAAAATAACCCTCAAAAGTTCTTTCCCCCAAGTTAAAGAGTTAAATTAGTATTTTTATTTATTAAATTTTTACTTCAAATGAAATTATATCTGCTTACAATAAATCTAGAATTAAAAAAAGACAGATTTGCCTATTTGCAAATCCAATAATTAAATTGAAAGAAAAAATATCCTCTTTACTTTTAAATAAAAAAATTTTACATTTTAAGAAATGTTTTCATTTAAAAAAAGATGAGAATTAAATTTTTAATATTATTTTTAATCAATTACAGGATAAATTTATGTTTATATTCATAGTAATATCAAAGTTAGAATTTAGATGTTATTTATGTTAAGTATATACATTTCATTCACTTAGCGCTACAATAAATGTTTACATAGACTTACTTTCTTTTGTTAATTCTATTACATAAATATTAAATATTTCTTAAAATCTAATACAAATAAATTAACATTTTATAATTTTATCTACTTGTATTATTAAGAAAGATATTTATTGATTTAAAAATGTAAAATAACAAATATTCAATAAAAAATATATTAAATTTATTGATCTCTTTTAAATAAATCCATACAAAATTTTTATTATTTAATATTTTAGAATAATATCAACTAGTAAAAATTGACTTCAAATTTAATAATTAATATTCGATAAACAAAATATTATAAATAGATTGATTAATCTTTTTTAGATAAATCTATACAAAAATTTTAATTTATATAGTCCTCAGTTCAATTTGATGCATTTTAAAAATCGAATAATTAATATTATTATTATTATTACAACATATAAAATGATAAAATATATCGAAACAATCAAAAAACATATTATTACCTTTGTTATTGATTGCTTATTAGACCCTTTTCAGGAGTGAATCATAGGCATTATAAATTCTTTCTTTTAAATGTTAACTATTATAAAAATAATCTTCTATTATTATTTAAAATATTTCATCTTATTAGCGTTAAAGTTGTGATATTCTGGCACTAGGCTATTCCTGTGCCCAAATCTTCCTATTCACCAATATAATTCCAACTTTAAATATAAGAATAAATAAAGAATTAAATAAATATGGAGGAGAAATGATGGTAAAAAAACGATTTATCAAGCTTTTGCTTACCAATTTTCATTTTATTAAGTATTTAATTGGTGAGTTAAATTTTAATATTTATCAAATTTTTTTAATCAATTTTTAACTTTTTTCAATAAAACTTTTATTAATATTTTTAATTTATAAAAAATATATCTATACTTTTAATTAGAATTATTAAACATAGATTTTTTTAAATGAAAAAATGAATTAAAATAAATAATTTCTTCATATTCACTTTATTCTTATTCGGTTATTTAATATATAAATGATATTTATATATTTGCTATTTTATGAATTAATAATATAATTATTAAAATAATTTGTATTTTTAATTAATTTTATTTAAAAACACAAAAAAAAATTCAGAAATAAAAAACGGGTAATTTCTAATCCATAATAAATAGTTATTATGTCCAGATATTTATATTGATGAAGGTGAAATGGATGAATATTGAGGATAAGATTATAATTAATATTTTGGTGATTATTCTGAAATGAATCATGATCATGAAAATTATATCAACCAAAAATTTATTGTGATAAAGATGAAGTTAAAGATTAAATAAAATGAAAAATGATTTTAATTAATTTTCAAAGTTTTTTTGGAAGTAAAAACTATTTTGTAATTTTGAATTAAATTTAGTGAGAGAAAAGTAATTATATGCATAGATGATTAAATAATCTGACTAAATTATATTTATTAAATAATATGGTTTTTTTTTGACATATTTAAAGCGATATTATCAGATTCAAATAATAGTACTTCTAATTAATTATTTAAATTCATCACATCAGTTCATGTTTTTAAAAATAAAATTATTTCAAAGATGATCTGCTTGTGATTATGATTTAAACAAAATTTTATGAAAAAATCATATTAAATAATAACCATGATCTATCTAATTAATCAATAAATTTATAAAAAAACAATAATATTTTTTGTAATTAATTTAAGAATAATAAAATATTAAAATTGAGTTTGGGGTTCTTGTTTTGCTTAAATTTTAAAGGTATATTTAAGAAATTTTAGAATTGATTTATTATTTAAAACTATTTTATTGTTTTTTTATAAAAATATGTCCAATAAAATTTATATTTTGACTATTTTAGACTTCAACTATTTTTTAAATTTATTTTTTTTAATGTTTATTTTATTTAAGTTGTAGCAATGGTAATGAAAGTGCAAATTTAAAATAAAATGGTGAATTTACAAGATGCTCACTAATAATTTGATACTTTTTGATTAATTTGAACACATGTGCATAGTGCGCTATCTGTGTATGCCATGCATAATATTTTAAAAATGATGGCTTTTGTTTGTATTTTACTTGAGTTGGTACAAGTAAGTAAAGAAATTCGTAATATTTTATTTGGGTAGTAAGTATATAAGCAATTTATTTAGTAAATGGCAAGCTGGCTTAATTAGTTAATTAACTAAGTCAAAAGCTTAAAATAATCAATTCTCAATTATTAGTTTATCAATCAATAAATTTAATTTTTACAATAAATCAAGAGTCAAAGTTGTTATATTCTTGCACTAGGCTATTCCTATGCTTAAATCTTTTGCACTGTCATCACCAATTTTATTGAAGCTTTAAAAATAAGAATAAATAACTAATTAAATAAATAAATATGGAGGAGAAAGGATGGTAAAAAAAACGATGGTTTTCGTTATATTTTAGTTGTTTTGTGATGAGTAAGTAAAGATATTTGTTATATTTTATTTGGTTTGTAAGTAAATAAGCAAGTTAGTTAGTAAATGACAAGCTGGCTTAATTAACTGATAACTAAGCCAAAAGCTTAAAATAATCAATTCTCAATTATTAGTTTATCAATCAATAAATTTAATTTTACCATAAATCAAGCTTCAAAGTTGTGATATTCTTGCACTAGGCTATTCCTGTGCCTAAATCTTTTACACCTTCATCACCAATTTCATTCATACTTTAAATTTAAGAATAAATAACAAATTAAATAATTAAATATAGAGGAGAAAGGATGGTAAAAAAAAGATGGCTTTTGTTAGTATTTTAGTTGTGTTGTGATGAGTAAGTAAAGATATTCGTTATATTTTATTTGGTTTGTAAGTAAATAAATTTAGTTAGTAAATGACAAGCTGACTTAATTAGCTAATTAATTACTAAGTCAAAAGTTTAAAATAAAATAATCTCAAATATTAATTTATCAATCAATAAATTTAATTTTACCTTAAATCAAGCATCAAAGTTGTGATATACTTGCATTAGGCTATTCCTATGCCTAAATATTTTGCACCGTAAACACCATATGCACCAATATCATTCCAACTTTAAATATAAGAATAAACAAAGAAATAAATAAGGAGGAGAAAGGAAGGTAAAAAAAACAATGGCTTTCGTTATATTTTAGTTGTTTTGTGATGAGTAAGTAAAGATATTAGTTATATTTTATTTAGTTTGTAAGTAAATAAGCAAGTTAGTTAGTAAATGACAACCTGACTTAATTAACTGATAACTAAGTCAAAAGCTTAAAATAATCAATTCTCAATTATTAGTTTATCAATCAATCAATTTAATTTTTACCTTAAATCAAGCATCAAAGTTGTGATATACTTGCACTAGGCTAATCCTGTTCCTAAATATTTTGCACCCTCATCACCAATTAAAAAAAAACTTTCCAAAAAAGAATAGTAAAATAAATAGATTTTAGTAGATTTTCAATTTTTTTAGATTTTATTTAAAAATATTTTAATTTATTTTGATTGGTTGAAAATAATTTTTAATAAAAAAAGGAATAATTGATAGCAATATTAAAATTGGTTTACTTTTTGTAGTTATTTATTTACAATTTTATAGATGAAAATACAATGAATTATGAATGAATAACTCAAATAGTATATTAAATTAAATTAAAAACAGATTGTTTGCTTATTCAGTTGTTTTCATAATAAATTTGATGCTAAGCTAAAGAAGTTTTGAAAGATAGAGGCTAGAAAGTAACTCCGTCAGCTTTGTAGAATTTGCTTTAGAATTCTACCCAGTGCAATCTAAGAGTGTGGAGGAAGCACTCCATGACATCCATACACATCAATACACCAAAGGTAATCAATGCAAATATAAAATACCCTACAAGCAAGCCAAGGATTGAAGAGTTTTCAATAGAGCTTTAAAGAGTTTTTTCAAAAAATACATGGGCTAGCTATGAATGAGCAAGAGAAAGAGCCCAAAGTCTGAGATAGGAAGCTGTATGGGAAACGCTTCCAAGAACGAATTCAATTGATTCAATGACTTAATGGACAAATAGCTCAGAAAAGCTCTCATGACTTGTATGCTATTCTTATTATTTTAAATGCTATTTATCATGATGAGTATGGTGTTATGACTAGGACTGTATTTCTTCTTGATCTTATATTTCGAGAACCTATGGAGACTGTATGTGCTGATCTTCACTGCTCTTTGATCCAAACAAATATTAGAATATTGGCTTGGGAAAGAGCATAAGTGGGACACAAACAGCAGCTACTATTAGAAGGTAGAATTAAAGTTTTTCTTGCTATTTACGAGAGACATCGATGTATCCAAGTATATTGTCATAATTAGGGTCAAGCTTACCAAAATTTAATATAAAATTAAGCATTATAGTTAAGATTGATGGAGCTTCAGAGGGAGCAAAGCTAGAGAGCCATTTAAGAATAATTAAGAGCGCCATATATCCGAAAGTGCAAATAAAAAATAATAATTGAGGAAGGAATTCAAAGAAAAAGTCAAGAGCGCTGAGTTAAAGCATTGAGTTTAATCCCTTAAGAAGAATACCCAAAAGCATCTAACTAACACCCAAAATGATTGCAGACTTCATCTTAAAAGAGTTAAAGAATGTAAGACTATTTTATGAATCAAGCCATACTGGATCCATACCAAAAGGATAAACGCATTCATCCTTTCTTTTTAGTTTTGACTTTCCTTAGAAAGTATAGCAACTACCAAACAAATCCAAAGGTATGCTCATGAAATCATTGTATATAAACCCACAAAAGATAGCGAAAAAGCCCATCATAGAAATTATATATCTGCATTTGTAAAGTTAATCTTCATGGTGAAGCTTTTTATCATAAGTAGACATCAAGTAGCACCCATAAGTGAATAGCAAAATACCATGTCCAATATCACCAAACATTACTCCAAAAAGGAAAGGGAAAGTTATAATGCTGAAAAATCCAGGATTTATTTCTCTGTACCTATTGAATATTAAAGTAGAAATAAACTAAATTAAAATTCTTAGTAGTGATAAAAAGCTAAAGAAGTCTTTGAAAAAACTAAAAAGTTGATAAAAATCTTAGAAATGATGAAATATTATCAAAAAAGCCTTTTAAAAATCTAAAAATTTGTTAAAAAATCATAGTAGCGATAAAAAGCTGTCAAAGAAGCCTTTAAAAAAGCTAAAAATTTGTTAAAAAAGTGCCAAAAACTATCAAAGAAACCTTTACATAAACTAAAAATTAGCATGAAATTTAAAATTCAATAAAATGAATTAAATTATTTATTGCGAAATATTTAAAGATAAATCAGATAAAAACAAAAAAATTTATAAATTAAAATGTGAATTAACAAATAAAATGAAAAAATAATTTGATAAATTTCATAAAAAGACTTGATTTGATTTTAAAATTTTCTTTTGAGTCTGCAAAAATGCAAATTCAATAGAGAGAAGTATTATTATAGATATCTTTTTTATTCAAATTGAATAAAATTATGCATAAATTAATTAAGACTTTTTGAAGAATTTGATAAAACCTGATAATATTAACTAAATATTAATAAACTATTTTAAGATGGTTTTTAAAACACATTTTCTAAAAAATATTGTTTATTAATTAATTACCTTGGGATGCCATATGTGTTTATGATTTCTTAGAATACGTCTAAAAATTGGTTCTTCTCAATTTTAGTTGGTCTCTTATTTTCCTGTGAAATAAATAAAATAATTACTTAGTAAGTGTATTTCCATTTTTTATGTTTTAAGAAATTACTATTGTAAGTTTGCTATAGTCAGATGTTGAAACAGGATGGAGCTATGCTGTGGCATAACGCGGATCTTGGGATGATTAGAGAAATTGGATTACACTTTCTTCTTCTGATTTAGGAAGCCAAACGTATGCCTTGAGGACAGCTCCAGTGTTTTTGGTTAGATTAATATGGTGGTAAATTTACTTTTCACGGACAAGATGCAATCTGTATTGCTCTAGCAAGGTAATTTCTTCTGTTTAATCTTGTAGTCTTGAAAATATTTATTCTAGATGCTTATATGTAAGTCTCAACAGTTCTTTACTTTTTTGGTAATCTTCTGCATTTTGTTAAATGTCAAGTTAGAGGTTTTCTTCGTCTCCTTCTAATTTGAAGACATTTGCTTCTACTGATTGACAAATCCTCATAAGCTTTGCCTCCAGTAGAGAGGATTAATTGTAAATAAATAAAAAGACTCCTTTCTTTATCTCTTCATTTGGGTTATCAGGATTAACTATTTTATATTTAGTTCCTGTTGTTTCGATGGGCTGAGCATAAATGAAACATTTGCCTTTTGTTGCACGAAACATCGATTTTTAGAATCGAAGACTGTCTGACATGTTAATTGTTCCTATAATTTTTCCAATTCTAGATTAATCCTCACTCAGTGAACTAAAACTAGGAATCTATTGATCTCCTGTAATTAATGGAACAATCTTTTCTAAACAAACTATCTACTCAACCAATAAATTCATGTTCATTCTTGTCTTATGAGCTGCTGCTATTTACTTCTAAATATCTACTAGCTTTTTTAATAATAAATATCAAATTAATTCATAAAGCATTAATAAATCATTCATTCTTTCTTATTTAGTATTTTTAAAATAAATCAATCAAAGCTTTTTTTAGCTTTATTCAAACAAAATGTAAAGTTTAATTTTTAAGCAAATTCAAAATCCTAAAATTTAGCTTTTTCAAATCCAATTTCAAAACACTTTTAAATATTTCTAAATTGATTTTAAATTAGAGTTTTTACAAATTAAAAAAAAATCTTACGACTGTTTTAATTTCCTTTTCTAGCTCATCAATATAATATTGCTCATCTTATTTGCGAGATTTCTTTTTTATTTCCAACAGATTGAGGAAATTAGTTACATCTCCTTTCCCAAGTCCATGGTCATATCCAAACTAATTCATAATTTAGCCTATTTCATCGATCTTGCTCAAAAGTTCATCGCAGCGTTTTGTTTGCTTTGAATATAATCTTGTAAATTATGGAATATGTGGCTCTGCATCAATAAAATGAAAGAGATCTTTGTCACCAAGACTGCTCACTAAATTGTAAGAATTCTCTCTGGGAATAAGGAGACAATAAAGTTCCATTTCTTCTGACCTAAAGAAGCTCCCCATTTTAATAATTATAGTTTAATTATGTGCTTAACTCGATTTTGAAAGAAAGTATTTTGTTGTTCTACGTAGTCAGTCAGTCAGCCTTTATTTTTATTATATTTACTTTTACAAGTAAAAAACAGATTTATGATTTGTATTGATTTTACTATTAATAGTTAGTTATATCAATTTGCCTAGTTAATTAGTATTAACTTATCTTCTTCTTTTGCTTTATTAATTGACTGATTTATCTTTTCTTTCTTTTTTGTTAGTATTTTAATATTTAATTTGATTAATTCCTAATCAAAAATCAATTAATTTTACCACCTTCATACAATCTTATCATCATTTTGTTTGTTTATTTGTTAGTCATTCATCTAACTAAAATTTCATTCATTTTTACAAATGATTTTTATTTTTTACGTTTTAAATAGATAAACATAATGCATGAGTCTTCCTTACTATACCTTTTTTAATTTTTCAAAGTTTTCAAGTAAAACAACACCTGCGATACTATTCGTTTTAAGATATTAATTAATTAAAATCTTCTGTTCTAAAATCTCTACCTTCATTCATATTTCATTAAACACAATTAAAAAAATCTAGCAAAACTCTTTACCCTCTATTTCATTAAATATTTATTCAAAATCTCAAAAAATACTTCAGTCAAATTATTTTCATCGGCAAGAACATAGTAATTAATAACAATATTCGTAAAAACCTAAAAATAGTTCAATTCATATGAAATAAATTAAATATCTGACTTACTCTAATAAAAGAAATTCATGGAAATTTAATTATTAATTTTAAGTATAAATTTCTACTTCAAGTATTCCCCTTTAAAACATAAAAAAATTTATAAATAAAAATTATAAAAATATAAAATAATTAGGGATGAAAAAATATAAAATAAAACTAAAATTTTTGTTTTAAATATTTAATTTAAAAAAGTTTTGAGAATAAACATAAGATTTTTATTAATAATATCTTAAAAAAAGTAATATGAGCTGAGATAAAGAAATATTTAACATATAATTTAAAAATAGCAAAAGTTTAAAATTTATATTTATTTTAATATATTTTTATTAATTAATTAAATTTATTTTATATTTGAATTATTTTTGATTTGTTATAATAGAATTATTTAACTAATTTATCACACTTTGTTTTCTATTTAATTTTTGTTTCATTTTCTACTTTCATTTTATTTAGTTCAGTTAAATATTTTTTAAAAGTCTTTTACAAGATGAATGCAAGCTTCGTAGTCATCTAGCAATATTTCACACAATCCTCTTTACGCAACATTGAGTTAAAGGAGATATATTTGATTTTTCTTTTGCTAATTTTAGTTCATTTTAAGCAATTGCAATACATTCGATGGAATGACTAGCTTTTCAATACTCTATATTGGTATTTATATCTAAAATTATTATTAATTGAAGAGCAGTTATTTATTAATCATGTCGAATTACATGGAGAACTCAAAAAATCCTATTTAAGTTGCATCAAACCAAGTCTAATAATTGACATCTACATTGTATATTTTATATCTGTTTGTTTCCTGTCTAAATAATATTCTATAGTCTTTAATATAGCAACTTTCACTGTTTGAAACATGCTTAACCATTATCTGAGGTTGCTCATAATGTTCGTTTATAAGCGATTACTACTAGCAATGTGTTTAGTATTAATCTAAATTCTTTGTTTAGATTGGATAATTAGAGTTCTAGCAATTCATTTTCTCAAATTTAATTGTATCGTTATTGATTTAATAGGTTTCTCTGTTCTTTAAGTCATTCACTTTATTCAAGTTTACTTGCTCTTCTCCTCTTCTTCCTTCAATTTGTTCTTCTTCTTCGTCGTCATCATCGATTTGCTAAAATGTTACATCTAAAGAGTTAATTAAATTCAGCTGATTAGAGCTTTCTTCGTTTGAATTATTTTCGCTTTGGTTTTGGTTTGTAACAAATTAAGAAGTGCATTGTCTTATAAAATTACTTTTTAGATTACTTTGATAATTTTATTCTTAGTAAGAAGGTTCTCTTGAGATGTTTTCTTTTGAAAAGTTATTATTCGAATTTTCATTTTGGCTGCTCTTAGAGTTAGTATCAGAAATAAATGAAGAAATTTCTGATTTACCGCGGCTTGTTTATTATTCTTATAGATTATTTTTAGAATTAAGTTATATCGAGCATTGTTAGCTTTCTTACATTCTGGCTGAAGGTAATTCGCTATTTTTGTAAGAATTAGAGTATGACAAGCTATTAGAAGGTATTGATGTGTTACTGAATTTATCATTTTATCTATTAAAGATTTGCTCATCATTTCTGTTTTTAGCTAAATTAGAATTATTATTTTGAAAATTCTAAATATGCAATGGAATTTAAGTTATTTTAAAGCTGTTTTGGTTATTAAAGATGCTTTAGTATTTATTAGAATTGTTATCTATTAAATTCATTTATTTTTAATAATTGCTTGACAAATTATGCTAAATATTCATTTTGCTATTATAATTATTGGAATCCTTCAAAATTTAATCAATATTTATGGAATTTTATAGATTAGCAAATTATACTTAATTGACTTATATATGATCTATCTAAGAATTTATAAGATTATTGCTATTTCTGTTTGATTAATATTGAGAAATTTATTTGCTCAAAAAAGTGTCTTTTTTATTGATTGTTTGGTTGTCAAATGGTCTTTTAATATTCTTAGAATTTGCGTATTAGGAACTGCTTCTGTTAGATAAGTTTTTTTATTCGTTGCTACTATTTAATGGATTAGAAAATTGGATATTTTCTTTATTTTCTGCATTTGATTAGAGTAATTTTGCCTTATATTATTTCTTTACATTTTCATCACTTTGGTTAGTATTTTATTAGCTTTTTAAGCAGTAATTCTAAGATTAAAAGTTATTTGATGTAAATTAATTGTTTCTTTAATTTAATTAAGCATTATTGTTTTAACTAAATTTATTTTCAAAATTATAATTTGATACATTGCTCCTGAATGCCTCATTAGAATAGTAATTTCTACTATTAGCAATAGAATTTTTTCTAGTAATGTCATTTAAATAATTGCATCGATCAACTTAGCTTGCATTTTATTCTTCACTTTAATTTATTGTGGTAAGACCCATCATTTAGCTTGTTAAGGGATTATTTGTTGAAATGAAATTGCTACCATTTACATATTAATTATTATTAGGATTTTCTTATAATTTATTAATTTAAAACCCATTAATTAAAGTATTCAGTTATTGAGTGTTTATTTAATGTTAATTTTATTATTAATTTATTGCATTTGAATGAATTGTTTTCATTTCACCAACTTTGTTCAAGTTGTCAAAGTTAGTCTAAGTTTTATTTTAGTTTTAATAAAAATTTTCAGATAAAGTCTTTTATTCATTCAAGTTGTGAGAAGAAGATTTTTGGAACTAAGTAAAGCTACTGTTATTGCTTAACAGTGAAGAATCCAAATTATTATATTTCTATTAGCGTTTTGACTTTTCTTATTCTTCTTAAGGCATCATGCAATCAATCTCAATTGGCATATTATAATTTAAATAATTATTTGTGTTGTTATTGCTGTGATTTTACTCTATTTAATCTATACTTTTTTATGAACCGCAGCTGTTCTAATTATCAGAATAAGAGATATCATTTAGATAGTTAGATGAATCAACCATTTTTTTATTATTGTAATTATTGCTATTGTATTAATTCATATTATAATTACTTTTATCGATATTACTGTTACTAGTGATATCAATGTTATTACCGCTAATATTATTATTAATAGAGACTTCAATATTGTTATTACTTCCGATGTCAAGGTTATTATTAGAAATATCGATTTTGTTGCTAGAAATGTTAATGTTGTTATTAGTAGTATCAATATTGTTGTTACTAATGTCTATATTATTGCTCGTCAACAATGAGAGTGAACTGATTTAATTTTATTGAGATTTATTTTATGCATTCAAATTTTAAAAGTGCTGAGTGAAATACAAAGGAGAGCTTAGTTGTTCATTGTTACTGTTATTTTGATTGTTTAACTCTTTATTGTCAACTATTGAGATAAGTTAATTGTTGTTTAAGTTTAGAGATGTGTCATTCAGAGGGAATCTGAAAGTATTAGGAGAATTTATTTGCAAAATATCCTGAGTGTTTGAGCTGATTGTTGTTGAAAATGTGGAATTGTGATGATTCATATTTGAGTAAGATATTTGGTTTTAAGAGAGTTACTCATGTTTTCTTATATTTTTTATATTTTACAAAGGGAAATTCTTAGGAGAAAGGACAAACTAAATCTCTTAGTCATTGTTAGTTATTTAAAGTATGTAGGGAAAATCATTTTCTAAAAGATTTTAGATTAACACTGATTCTTAGCGATTATCTTTGAAGATCTCATCAACCATTCTAAACATCTCCAAAGTCTCTGAACGAACCTAAATATCTATTGAAATAGTGTCTGCTTTCATCTCCTCGTCTAACATTTGCTAATTATCTCTTCTGATTTTTTCCAGTCTGCTTATTTCTTCTTTTACTTTTTCTGCTTTTTTGATTATCAAGTCTTTCTTCTGTTGGCTGTTTATTGTGCTCTATGTATTTTAAATAATATTAAATATAGAACTTTATCCATTTAACAAATTACATCGAATTGATTCATAAAATTAGCGTTGCTTCTGCTCAGAATCCCATAAAAATCACTGCGTGTTCTTTTTAAAAATTGCTATCTGTTAGTTGCAATAAAACTAAAAATAAAAATAAATAATGATTTTTATAAAAAAAAACAATCTACTCAACGATGTCTCTTTTTGGAAATATATCTTGCTTCTTAATATTGTTGATAATCTAATCCAATTCCAATTTCTCTTCAATAGTTTTTTTAAGCTAAATAAAATGGAAATATTAAAATAAGTTTATTTATTTAATATCAAATTACTGTATCAGCTAATTGCTGAGTTTCAGTCCCGAAGCATTGAATCTTAAGGATAGTTGTCCTGATTTAATAAATCAAAGATTCCATTTGTTATATTTTAGGTTAATTAAGGTTAACAGTTTCTACTATTTTGCAGAATTGAAGTTGTTTTAATTTTAAGTGTGTCAATACTAGGCTTTAAATTTTCTCTTATTCTTCATCATTATGGAATCTTTAAACAAAAATATAATATATTTTCATTAAAAAAATTAAATTATTCAATTTAAGCAAATAGGGGATGGATATCAAATGTATTAATTAAAATAAAAACATTAAAAGATCATTTGAAAGTGATTTTTAAAAGATAAAATAAATAAAAAAATAATTATGCCCTATATAAAAAATATAAGAAAATGAAAGATAAATAAGAGTAAAGATAAATAAATAAATAAATATAAAAAGAAATGTTTACTTTTTAAAAGATGTGAAAAACATATTTAGGATGTGGTTAAGATTTGTAAATGTTTTTAAAAAAATAATTAAATCTTTGTTTTGGAAAGGGTCTACTTAATTAATTAGGTTTTATATTTCTTATTTAGCTTGCTCTATTTTACATTGAAAGTTTTTCTTGGCATCGTTTAGCTAATTTCCATATGTTTCAAAAGTCAGCATTGCACTATAGGCTTGAGAGAGTGTTTTATTGGATGGATCAAATGCTTTGTTGGTATTTTAGATGGAGGAAACTATTAAATTTTATTATTCAATAGTTCTAAAATATGCTTCTATTTACTAAATAACAAGATTCTAGACTTGTTAAACAATAACTAGAGATGGTAACTTGCATACCCTCAAAGAGTAGTACTCGTCAACTTCCTTAATGAAAACTTTTTGTTTCATAAGCTTGTAGTCAAACACAGTTAGCATTAAGTCATAAACCTATTTTCCTCCAATAACCAATTATGATTTAATGAATTCCTCCATGACTTAAACTTCTTAACCCTTTTTTTTGTTTTCAAATTAAGATTAAGAATGAAATTATAAATAAAATTTTTATATTACAGATCCAATTTAATTAATTTGCTCTATTAAATCCAAGAATCTTTCTTTTTAGCTATCATACTAGACCTGCAAATGAGCGAGAAGTTTGTTTATGTTGCCTAACTATCTCTTTTTGATATCTATTTCACTATTCATTCTGATAATCTTAATATCTTTCTAGATAACTTCCATGTACTTTTTCACATCATACTCAAATGAATCCCACTTTTCCTATTATTAGAATATTTATTTTCATCTTAATTATTTTCAAACCACAATTTAAGCAAATATTTTGATTGATTCAATTATTTTATTTATTTATTTAACGCTAATTTTAAATTTAATAGGATTTTTACTGATAAATTTGCATTTAAATTTGAAGTTAAAATTTATGTAGATTAACTATGGTTAGTAATAGTTACTTTCTTTCTTTCTTTCTTTATTTATTTCTTTCTTTCTTTGTTTATTGTTGATTATCTTCCAATATTAAAAGCAATTCATTCAGTAAGTTAATGCCTTTTATTTATGCTTCTTGTAAAGATATTTTTTAAAATGAGTAGAATTTTTTCAGTTATAAGGTAATAAGTAATACATATATATATATGCTGCATATATCTTTTCATTATTCTAATACTAAAAAAACACTTTCTTTCATAAAATTTATTCTTTCAAACGAAAAATGTGTGCATCAAATAAATAAATAAATCAATCAATGAAGGAATAGAAAATAATTTACTTGATTCTTAAGAGTTTCTACTTTATTTTCTAAGAGTTGTATTTCATTTAATATTTAATCTGCTCTCATTTAACGAGATAGATTGTCTTCTTATATCATTTGTTTTCTTTACTTTAAATCAAAAACTTTCTGGCCTTATTGAATGAGCTTGTCTAAATAGCAGATGTAGCTCAGAACAATTTGGCTTCCTTCTTCTCTCATAGCCCTTTTTTTTTCTTCGATTGACTTTCTAACATTAAAAAGGACGGGTTTGTCTCTGGGAATATAGTTAGAAATAGAGTTGTTGCTAGCTTTGAGGTGAAGTTTGCTATAATTTATGCTTTTTTCTACATTTTCTTGAGATAATTTCATTAATGACAATTTTGGAGTAAGACTTCTTTTTTTTTCAACTTTTTTATCAAAGACCTATGAATTATTTTCATTAAACATTGTGGCTATTTAACTTGGCTGGTCACTCAACATTAAAGCTAAATTAGGAGGAGACTAATTGAGTTTTTAATTCTAAAACAAAGGTGCGGCCTAAGGAAAAGCAAATGACTACTCCTTCTCGCTTTATCTGATTATTGTTGAGTGGCTTCTAACATTAGTTAAAGGCCTAGGCGATATTTATGATTGCTTGACGTTTTCTTTTTTAAAGATGGGCTTGTTAAAGGGATTGTTATAAGACAGCATTGTAACCTGAGTTTATCCTGCTGTTGCTATCATGAATTCTAATAATAATAAGAGTAAGATAAAAGAAAACTAACAAATTAAATAGAAAAAATATTGTTAAAAAAAAAATAGTTATCTGATAAATGAATTAACAAATAAATTAATAAATCAATTAATTAAGAATAAATATATGAATCTATGTGAGTATTTATGCATGTATTTATATATAGGTATGAATGTTGTATCAAACAATCTATTTATCTATTTTTTGTTTGCTTAATTAAATCCTATTTTTTTCTAAACTTAATAATATTAATATCAATTTGCAAATTCATTCATTCATTCATTCATTATTTTCAAATCGATTGCTTATTTATTTATTTTTGTTTGCTGTCTTCATTTTCAAACAAACAAACTATATTTTTTTTTTTACTTAATTTCTCTCATTCATTTATTGATTGATTATCTAACATCCTTCTATTCATTTCTTCTAATATTTTGAGGATAAAACTTTAGCTCGTTAACAAAATATTTCGATAGATATTTTCGCTCCTAATTAATTATAAATTTCTTAATATTTAGAAGAAATTTAAACTCCTGCATGCTTCAAATTAAACAATCAATTTTAAACGGCTATGTATACATTTAAATACATAACATACATACATATCTATCTATATTAATAAATCCTTTTTATCTGTTATATATATAGATAGATATTTCTTTATCTAATAGTAGTTCAAAATTTACTAAAACTATAAATTATAATTTAATGAAAAGCTAATTATTTCATATTAATTTATTTAAATATAAAAAATCTACTATAAATCTTAATAAAATTTATCATCTTAATAAAAATAAATTAAATTCTAATTTTATTATTTGTTATAATTATATAAATAATATTGTAATTGTAATAGCCAATATATTGCCCGAATCCACCTTATATATATATAAATATAATTTGATTTTTTTAATTTGTTTAAAAAGTAGCTTAAAATATAATATGAATTAGATTTACTGTCATTTCATGAACTATTTAATTGATAGATTACATTTTTGCAATAATAAATAAAATAAAAAATGGATTATTAGGTTTGATTAATTGCTAATGTATTTTGACTGATTTATTGCTTAATTTATATACAATAAAAAAATTATCATTCATTTAAATATTAAGTTTTATTGATTGACTGATTAATTAATTAGGTAATTAATTAAATATATATTTGGTAACTATTAAAATAGAACAAACAAACAAACCAACAAAAATAGTGAATTTAATAGAGAATGGTTATTTTCCAAAAAATGAAATTTCTACTTATTTATAGTTAGGTAGGCAAGTAAAGGAGATAGATAGATAGCTATTACTGGCTAGCTTAAGAACTAATTTAAAGATGATATGAATTGCTTTAAAATATGATGGAATCAGATTAGCAAGGTTTTTATTTAAAGTAGGAAGAGAGCAAAAAATAAATAAATTAACTAAGAAACAAACAAACAAACAAACAAACAAAGGAATAGACTATTTGAGTAAATTAGAAGCAATAATTAAATTAAATTTTGCAAAAATATATAAAATTAATTAATACTTGAGTAAAACATAATAAAGTTAAGAAGTAAAAATCAGAGAATAGTTAATTAGATAGATCGATCGATAGATAGATAACTTTATCAAATTTAATAAATCATTCAATCAATGATTTTTAATAAGTTCAGTCTCTAGTTTTACTATTAATAATTTGAATAGAATTTCCGAAAGTAAGAATTCGAGAGAGTAAATAAATTGAATAAAAATTATTTTATTTGAATAGCTTGATGTTTAATTTATTGGTGATTTCGTTGGTTATTTTTTGAGTGTTTAAATGTATGGAAAATTAATTTTATAGAAAGTTTGGTTTAGAGTTAAATTCAAGCATGCATATATATTTATTCTACAAGACTTAAATATATGAAAGTAGAATTAAAGCATTTATTTATTGATTTTTAAAATATTAACAATAGAGGTATTTAGAACTGAGACTGCTCCTTTTGCTATTAATTTCTAATGACATTTACACTTTAGTTTAATACTAATATAACTTATTTCTTATATGTGCATGCATTTATTATCCTATTAATTGGTTAGTTGTCTATAAATTTCCTTAATCAATTTATTATTTGAACCCTTTGACACAAATCGTAGTAGCCTACACATCTCTCTACAAAATGACTATATTTACTCAAAATGTATCTAGTGATCAAGTACTATTTCATTACCTAATGTATGGCTAGGTAAATTCAACACTTAAACTCATATATATCATTCTCATAAATAAATAAATCATCTAAGCAGAATGTTATTATTAATTATTTCAATTTAACACAACAAATCATGTTTCTTTAATTGCGATGTTATTTCATTGATCATTTACATCGAACTACTAAGAAAACAATTAGGAAAAAAAGAATAAAACTTTTTAAATTTTTTACATTTTAAGCACATCATTCAACTAGATAGAGCTAATATTCTACTTTAAATAACAGAGAAGTATTTTTTAACTAAAGCTAATAAATTAAAAAGCCATCTAAAATTAAACTAAAGCAATTTTCTTTATATAAAGAAAGCAAAATGTTATATTTTTATATATAATAAACAAAGGTAAGCGCTATTGCTTTTTATATACTCAAATCGTCGAATTTTTTACTGAATTTTTGTGGAGCTGTTGGTGCAGAAATAATTTACTTTTATGGTTATTCTTTCAGCTTTTTTTTCTCACGTATATTAACAGTGATAGTGTTTTATACATTTTAAGACTACATAGTTTGTAAAAGTGAGAGAATGAATTTCTATGTAAAATAGAAAGAAATTGAATGGAGAAGCATAATCTCCAAAGTGCTTCCTATGAAAGTAATTCAAAAAAACTCCTTTTGGCATGTTCTTCAAATTTTATTTTTATCATTTAAAGGTTTTTATATCTGAATTTGACTTTTTGACTTGCAATTTAAAACTTTACGATTGCTCAAGAGAAGCTCAACATTATGTGAAAGATAAGAATGCCTCCTATTAGTTTATGGATATTTTAAGTAAGATCAATTTAGACATGAGAACTTCTGTCCTTTTTAAGTAAAACACTGACCAAAAAAAAAGCAAGAGCACTAAAAGCAAGAAAGTCAATTTTAATAAGCAAAAAGAAGAAAAAGAACAAGAAAAGATCCACAATTATGAAAAAGAAAAGACATTTCAGTAGATTTAGAATGATCATGACAATAACTTGATTGATTTAAAAACCTATTTGCTTCATAGACATATCAGTATAGAAAAAGATTAACAAAAAGAGAGTGCAAAACAAATAAAGTTTAACATTTTAAATCCTTTCTAAAGTAAAAAAAAGAATCAAAACAACAACGATCAAGAAGAAATAAATGCATAAAATACTCAAAATAAATCCAATCAAGATAAAATTTATTAGAACAAGCAAATTGATGTATAAAATCTCTATAAAATGGACTCATTAACTGGATACTATTTTGAAGAAGACGAAAAAACTGTCATAGAAAAGCTTAAAGTAAAATCCAAATATAAAATAAATAAATATATTTCAAAATAAAATAATATCTGCAATAAGCAACAATTATCATAGTAGTTTCTTTCAAATTTACTAATATAAATAAATAAATAAGCAAGCTAATAAAAATAATTTTAAAAGCTAAAAATATAAATTTAAACATAAAAAACAGGGTTCAAAAAGAATTGGTCTTAGTTTAAATTTAGCTGATATTTTTTAGACTTTACTCAAGTTAGTTAAAGCCGAATTATAAAAAAAGATTTTGAACCCTGATAAAAAATAAATAAATAAATAAAAATAAATTTAAACAAAATTAAAAAAATGATGATAATTTAACTTATTAAAATAATGAAATGTAAATATTAATTTAATAAATAAATAAATAAATAAATAAATAGATAAAAATAGCTTTTTACCAATTGTATAAGCCTTTGTTGGTTGTTTATTTTGAAGATCAGACAATTTAGAATGAATACATAAATATTAAAGAAGAAAAGCAAAGATTTGATGTCCTATTTATTGAGATTCTTGAGAGCTTTAGAATTTAGATTACTCAAATACTGAAACAAGGGTTTGATTCTAACATGCTTAAATCAACTAAAAACAGATTATTACTACTATTGAATAATTTATATATCATATTTGATTACTATATGCTTTCATAAGTAAAAAAAAATGGTATCCTAAATTTGCAAATCCAATCTCAAGAACTCAATATAAAAAGGAACTCTTTCTCAATTTAAGATGCATTTAAAGAAATCAAGGATATTTATAAAGAAGCAGTTGCAATTAAAATCCCAGAATCAATCAAAAATAAAATTATATTCAATGACATACGGAGACTCAAATAAATTTTATTTGCAACAATATGTAAATTTAATTAATTCCTTTAAGTTTTTCATATAAATTTATATCATAATGATTTTAAAACAATTTATTCTTTTTATTCATTTTTAAAGCTTAAAAAAGAAAATAAATATTTGATTTGAGATTATGATTATAAGTCATAAAGTCACTTATAAAAATTATAAAATGCTTTGAATAAATTTATAAAAATAAAATGTAAAAAAAAATAAATTTAGAAAATAAATTAGTAAAAAATTTATGAATTAATTTTGAACAAAATTTTATTAGAATTTATTTAAAAATCAAGCTTAAAAAAGAACTTTATTGATTCAAACTAAAGCTAAATTAATGAAATATTTGTGCTATTTTTAAAACTAAAGAAAAACTTAAAAAAAAATTAAGTATGATAAAAGTTATTAAGATGAAAGATTTTAGTTGTTATTATTATTGTTTATATTAATTATTTTATTTATTTATTTGATTAAAAGCCAGCATGACGAGGATGTGCTCTAAATCGTAGATATCTATCGAAGTAAATTCCGATTAAGAGAAGAGGGAGTTGTGGAAAGGTATTAAATTCACAATAAATGGTATAAAGGACATTTAAATAAAAGAAAGCAGCATTCTTGACTATTTTTCGTATGATAACTGCAATCAGCTAAATGATCTTACGCTGTATGTTTTGAATAATGTTACTAAAATTATTGGACCATTTAATTTCAAAAGCTTTTGCTCTCCTTCAGATGAAATAGTTTTTGAGTTCACAATTTTTGAAGATATTAAATAAGTTTACAGTCAATAACAGCAATAATAATAATAATCTATGTTTTTGCTTTAGTCATAAAAAAATTCTCCTACTTTGGCTCCTTGCTTAAGCAGTAAATTAAATTAGACTTTGATAAATAGCTAGGAAGATGTCACGAAGACATCAATTGCTTCACCTTGCGATTTAAGACAAAGAGCAGTTTCTAATAATATCATGTTTAACTAAATAAACTAATAAGACTTGCCCAAATAAAATGAAAAAAAATAATCTTAAAATATTTTTAATACAGCCTGTAAACTCCGGAAAGTGAATACAGTTCACTCGTTTAGCAACAACAATTAAAACAATAAAAGTGAAAATGAAAATGAAAGTTAGCCTATCCAAAACAATCAGTAAAATATAGAAACTAGCTATTAAAATAATTCTCATTAAATCAATCATTCAGATCTAAGTGAATACTAAAACTCATTTTAGTCTTAATTATCTAAAAGCATAAAAAATTTACCCAATAAATTAAAAGTAAATTTATTAATTCATTATTTTTTCTTTAACCAATCAATTACTTTGTTAAGAAAATGAAAAGCTTTAATTTGAATGAAGAGATTTTGAAGAAAAAGAAAAACTCTATCAATATCGAGCTTGATCTTTAATCGTCAAATAAATTAAAATCACCAAACGACTCAGGTGAAGTTTAATAGCCTAACACAAGAATGAGCATTTTTAGCAAAAATTAGATCTTAAACAGAGGAGTGTCATACTCTTATAATAATAATAATAATAAATCAGCAATTAAATAGTTAGAAAATAAACAATTTAGTGATTCATCAATATAAAATTAATTTTATGAATAGAGCTAAATTGATCATTAACCGATTATTGATTATCTAAATGATGAAAGCAAGCATGAGTATTTTTTAAGCTCTAATAAAATTATGGCTAATTTCCAAAAAGAATTAAATGACTAATCCTACCAACATTAGCCTAAGATCTAGCAAAAAGTCATCTTGGATATTAACTCCTAAGAATCAGATAGCGAAAAATCACAAAAAATGGATTAAATTAATTTAGAAGATTCTGAAAAAAACACCCATAAAAATGGCCAATGTTAATTTTCCTCTCAAACTCTTAATGAGGAAGTTAATCAACTCGACTTTTAGCATATCAAAAACTTTATCTATTCTTAAAACTTTAAAACCTTTACAGATAATTAACTACTAAACAAATTACATTTTAACTATAACAATAAATCAACTTTACCTAATAAAAACTTTTTAGAGTAAAGCTGATTGATTATTGTTGTTGATATTGCTACTTTTTGATAAACTAAAATTTATTTTACATGCATTAAAAATTAAAATTTTAATTGTCTCATAATTTATACTTATTTACTTACTTACTAACTTGTCTATTTATTATTTGTTAATATTTTTCTGTCCACAAAAAAAAAAAATAGTCTAATTAACAATTACTCTTGTAATGATTCTTTAATTTTCTTTTGTAAGCAATTTAATAAGTAAGTAAGCAATCTTCAGAATAAATTAATATTTTTAATTAAACAGATAATAAACAACCCACTTAAATCTATTGCCTCTCATTTAAAATATCAGATGTCAATTCAAGTTTTTTAACATTAAATTAAAATCTGTTGGGGAGGCATTACAATAAGAGAGGGAATACAATAGGGGATATATATATATTTTTTTTACTATTTTTAAAATTAAAGTATTTATATAATATAGATAGCCCTTCCAAAATTAAAATGGCTTTTAACTCTAATTTACCTCTTATTTTTGAATGAATATATTACAAAATAATGTTAAAAAAATGAGAATATGTTATTTAATTAGAGTGTTTATATTAATTACAGCTTTTTTTATATAAAATTTATATAGAAATAACAAAACTAAAAGACATTTAATTATCAAAAACTAATTAAACTCTCAAATAAATAAATAAACATAAAATATAATCTGCATTTAATTTATTTTAAATTTAAATAAAAAAATAATATTTTTAATTAAACTATAACAACATATTTATTTATTTTTTTTTTTTTTTTTTTAAGTTAGAATTTGAATAAAAAGAAAGATGATATCAATATAAAAATGAAAATTAGTTAACAAATATAAAATAAATCTTCATTTATGTATTTATTTTTAGAACATTTTGCATTCATTTAAATATTAAATTTAAAAAGATATTTCATTTAATTTTTTTATTTGCATTTATTTACATTTGACTTTAAAATATTAAAAAATTCTGTATGTTTTTTTGTTTGTTTGTTAGTTAGTTTATTCATCTTGAGCTCAGTTAAATAGGATCTTTTTTATCTTGTATACCAAAGTATTCTCTTGCTTCTTTTTAAATAAAGAATGACCCACAAATGAGAAGTATTTCTGACTTATCTGAATTTTTGAGAGCATAATCTAATGTAGCTTTAATTTCACCTTCTTTGCTAAGAGGCATAAAGATGTCTTCATAATTTTGCATGTTATTTTTTAATTGTAGACTGCAATTATGCAAGTAATTAATTTTCATAGCTCTAAAGTGTGTTGCCTAAATAAGATGAATATAATCACATTACTTAGCTAGAACCATTAAAGAATCTATTGCATCTTTCTATGAAGAAGTTCCATAGACTATTCTCACTTTTTTATGTGGATAGAATTTTTTTATTCTCAGCAAAACTTTTTCCTACATTTTTAATAATTAATTTTTATTATTATAAATTACAATTAAAATTTTTCCAATTTACCAAAGCAGGAGGATTATGTCCTACATCAAATATTATTTTATAAGGACTGTATTTTTTAGCCAAAGACGCTTCTAAGCTTTCCATTCTGCATATTTGCTCTGCTTTAATCCCTTCTTCTATAAGATTGTCATCCAAGCTATTGAAATCTGGATATGTCATTTTAATTACTTTCATAGTCTCCCTTTATATTAAAAGCATCAATTAGGATCAAATTTAATTTTAGGAATACTTTCATGTTTCCTTAATGATTAAACAATACAAAAAAATAAACTAATAAAATAAATAAAAATTTGATTAGCTTAACAAAGTATTTTGGATTATAATCTTGAAAAATATACCTTGCAATGTCGGTGTTTTCTATATTGTAATCATGTAACTAGAATGTAGTTTGCTTTACTTTATATAGACTTGCTTAATTTATGGCAGCTTATTCTTGAAAAACTGAATATGGGATTGCATTTGGTCCTATGATAACAGGACATTTCGGTTTTATGATTCCAGATTTTTATAGAGCAATTTCTGAATAAGTATTTCCTAATACTTCAGTATGATCTAATCCAATCGATGTAATAACACTTGCTAATGGGTTTTGAATTACGTTTGTGGAATCTAACTTGCCTCCTAGACCACATTCCAAGACAGCAACATCAACTTTTTTCTCTTTGAAATAAATCATCATCAAACCTGTTAAATACTCTCATTAATTAGTTAAGAATTAAAGCTCAAACAAACAAACATTTATTATAAAAAACAAAAAAATAAATTATAATGAATTGAATTGAATGTATTAATTAACATTTTCTTATTTGATTTAGATTAATAAATTATTGCTAATATCTGTTTATATATCTTTAAACAAACAATAAATTCTACTTATTCTCTGCTTGGTTTTTGCAATATTAAAATATTTGAAAACCTAAAAAATTAATTAATCTTACATCGAAAAATGTGAGCTAAATATTATTCTTATTTGCTATGCTGAATAGTGTGGATAAGTTTTCTGTGACAAAATCTTCTTCCCAATATTATCCATTGATCTATTAAATTGAATCATTCATTCATTCATTTTGATTAAAAATTGAGAAAAAAAGTACTTAAATTCTTTCGCCATAGTAAAATAAATGGGGAGATGTGAAAAGACCTGTCTTCAATCCATTTAATTATAAAGCCTTGCTAATTTTTAAAGAAACTGAACCTTTCCCGTTTGTTCCTGCTATGTGGACACATTTAAGACTATCTTATGGATTGCCAACTAACTGATTTTAATAAACATCTAATTAAAAATCCTTCGGTTGAAGAATATCTAATATACTTTGAGAATGTGCAACATGCTGTCTAAATTTTATTTATTCTACTTAAATTTATTGGTATAGTTGAGCTACTTTAAAAGCTCAATATATTTTGTAGAAGAACTACTCATTAAATAGTGAGTAAAACACTCGAATTTTCTCTATTAAAGCAAATTTAATAACAAATAATAATAAACTAACAAATAAATAAATAATCAAATTATTAATTAATTAATTAATAACTAATTAGTTGAGTATTGATTCAACACCAATTAACAAATTCTTAATAGAGCTAAAAGTAATTCAAAATCTTTATCATTTTTTATGTTCAGATTTATCTATCTATTTTAACTAAAATAAATAAATAAATAGATATTTTCGACTTAAATTATATCCAACAACAATGTATGTGATTTTATAATTTAAGATACTCTACCAATAATGTTCGTATGATTAACTGAATTCAATATTTTAATTTAAAAAACTAACATATAAAATACTTAACTAATTTAAATATTTAAAAGTATTAAAGTATGTTAAAATATTATAAACATTGCTTTATTTTTATTGATTTACAAAACTAAAAATTATATTCAAAAAGTTCAAATTATATTTTTGATTTCAATTATGTGATCGATCTTATTTATTATTTAATCTATTTTAACAGAAATATTCTTCACTTTGCATATTTAATTGAATTTATTTATTATTTAATCTATTTTAACAGAAATATTCTTCACTTTGCATGTTTAATTGAATTTAATCTTTTAAAAAATATTCATTATAAATAGCAAATAAAATATTTGATTAACTTAAAATTATTTGAATACTAAAATAATTTAAATATTATTTTAATAAATAAATAAATACATATCTTACTAATATTCTATCTAATAAACTAATTTATAAAATAGTTGACCAATTTAAAAAATATTTAAAATTATTAATAAAAATGCTTTGTTTATTTTTATTGATTTAAAAAACTGACAATTTCAAAAAAAAAGTTAAAATTATATTTTGATTTTAATTAATAATGTGATTATTTATTTATATTTATTATTTAAGATACTAATCTAATTAATTCACAATAGAAATATTCCATTTTATATTCATTGTATAGAAAACCATAAGTAAACATAACTTTTATATTTCTTAATTTGTTTTTAAACTATATCAGACTGTTAAATGTATATAGAGGAAATAGTATTTAAAATATTAATAAAATAGAGAAACTTAAAATCTAAATCAACTTATAACAAAAATAAAAAACTATTTACTTTTAATAGCAAATAAAATATTTTAATAACTTAAAAGAATTTGAATAACAAATTAATTTAAAGCATTACATAAATAAATATTAATACTTTTACTTATATTCTTATAAAATTAGCAAAAAATACTTGACTAAATTAGAAATTTAAAAATATGAAAATATGTAAAAATATTTTATAAAAATATTTCCTTTATTTTTATTGATTTACAAAACTGAGAATTTTGTTATAAGTTTTAACATATCTTTTTATAAAAAGTAAACATATAAAAGATAGATAGATATTTATTTATTTACAAATTTATTTTAAAACTTCTTTATTTTTTGATAATTAAATTTTTTAATATAATTAATTATTTATTTTTTTATTTACATATTGAGCTTCAATTTGTCTTTTTAGTTTCATCATCGTCCTCTTCTTCATCTTCTTCATCATCATCGTCATAGTCGTTGTCATTGTCTTCTACATCACCTATTATGTGGGAATAAACGCTTTAACCCTTTTTGAGCTTCTCATAATATTATTCTCTGAATTCAGGAGAGTTGTATAGCAATATCTCTTCATATAATATGTCTAATTTAAATGTAATTTATTATTTTTAATTTCGAATTCAAAATTATTTTATTTACCTTTTAGTTATTAATCATTTAAGTCATAATTTTCGTACTCAAACTCGGCTTAATTAATTGGCTCACAATCAGGTTCATCAGAGGGATCGTGAAGCATTTCAAAAAACGGATGAGCTAGCGCTTATTCCGCAGTTATTCTTTATGAAGGATCAATTTACAAAAGCTTTTTAAGTAGATCTAAACACTACGATGAAGCATTTGGAAATATAAGTTTAAAATTTTTTCCAGGACAGTATGGGAAATAAGAAAGCAGCTTTTTATATTCAGGGTCCTTTACTTGATATTCATCTGGACTTCCAATTAATTGTAGAATTTGTCTCATTTAATCATCTGTTGAAGCACCTCTAATAATTGGCTATCTTTTCAAAAGTTCAGCCATTATAATTCCACAAGACCACATGTCAACTAGATTTTAGATATAAAATTTAATAAACAAATTCTAATCTTTATTTATCAAAATATAAAATATAAAATTTGTTTTCACCTGCTATGTCATATTTTTTATATGACAACAATATTTCAGGAGCTCTATACCATCTAGCTGTTACATACTCACTTAGATCATTTACTCTATTCTTTTAAATATGTCTAGCAAATCCAAAGTCACATATTTTTAAATCTCCTTATTCATTTGAAAGAACATTCTTAGGTTTCTATGTTTTAATTTAATAAAAAAATAAACAAATTTCATAAACTGCCATTTTATTTATAAGTAAATACTGTAAATCCTCAAATAAATTCAAAACTCAAAAAAATTAAGGGTGTGATAAGTAAAGAATATTAATGAATCTTTTAAAACTTATTAATTTAAAGCTTTTTAATTAAGTAAAAAGAATAAAATGCCTAGATTAAAAAATCTAAAAGTTCAATAAATCTAATTCTGTGATATTTTTTATTTAAATGAAGTCATGTTTAACTATTAAAAATATTAATGGTATTAATTTACAAATCAACTGTTTGAAGAAATAAATAACCATAAATAATAAATAATATATTTAACTGATATTGAAATAAATAATGTAAATAATGAGATAAAATGAAAAAGTATTTTTTACCAAATCTCTATGGACTATCTGTGCAGAATGCATATATTTAAGACCTCTTATAATTTGATACATTAAAAATTAAATATGTTCTTCATTAATTTCATTTTAAGAATTGATGATTGCTCTTAGATCACTCGTCATGAGAGGTTCAACTAAATATCTATATATAGATAGATATATAGATTAATAAATTAATAAATATCAAATTTAAATTGATTTATTTGGCTATAAAATAAGATTATTTATTTACATGTCATTCATTTATTCTCTAGATTTTGGTAGCAATAGCTTATAAATAGGAATAATCTATTTTTCATAATATGAATTTGAATGCATTAAAATTACAATTCTGTATTTAATTAAATAGATTATAGCTTACATTTTCGTGAGCTAACATTCTTTGTAATTTAATCTCTCTAATTGTTCTAATTGCGTATTATGTGTGCTCAAATGCTCTTTCTATTTTTTTAATTGCTACAAAATCACTATCCTCATCAAAAAACTCTTTTTCTTTATCCTAACATGCAACAACTACACCAAAGGTACCTTATCCCGCTTTAATTTATAAATTTTGGATGCTTATAAGAATATTAGTTTGCTTATTTAGCTAATTATTTTTAAATTATGAAGTAAAGCTTCAAAAAGATTATTTTTTGATCATAATTTTGCTGATTATTTAATAATCCAAAATGCCTAATTTACTGATATCATATGGCTCGTACCTAGATTCCATGTAAAACTCTATGTCATTTAATTTCCATTTTGTGAATGGCTTCTCATTTATATACTTGCTATAATCTATTTTAGTTGTTTCCATATTTCTTTTAATATCCATCTTTAATATAATATTCACAAATTCCTCTCAAATAAATTAAAAAGTATTTATCGATAATTTTTTTTTGCTGACTGATTTGCATGCTTATTAAAAAATATTGATTTCTATATATGTAAACAAAATAATACAATCAACCACAATTAATAGTTTTACTTAAGATATTAATCTAAATAACAATAATAATACTTTTATTTCTACTTCAATTCAATTCAATTAAAGTATTTGGCCTTTTTCTTTAAAATTAATTTACAGTCAATTATTCACTCTGATGAAAGATAAATAATCAATTAAAAGTAAGTAACTAGATTGTTAATTATCAATATAATATTATCAAACAAACAGATAACAAATAACAAACAAAATAATAAAATCAACTTTTGTCAATAATTTTACATAATTTGCAATAAGATATTTATAAAATGAATTATTTCAAACTTTTTTTCATTTGGGTATAAAATTAAATTAAAATAGATTATTCATTCGCCTTAATGAAAGATTAATAATTAATAAAAATCATCTTAATTAATTTTAGGTTTTCAATCTACTTTATCAAACAATCAAATAAAATTATAAAATCAACATAATTAACCATAATAAATATCTATCTTATTATTCAAAACAAAATATTATTTTATAAATGTTTTTAGTTCTATATCATTTCAAGCATTTATTCATAATCATTTAAAATTAATTATAGTACTTGATTCACATCAATGGATTATAAATAATAAATTAATTAAAAATTACTTAATTCTGGAGTTGATTACTACTGTTATTAGAGAAATAAATATTATTTTTATATATTTATTTATTTATTTATTATAAAGTGTTTATGAATAACTCTAGAAAAGTTAAAAATACAAATAATTTTTAATATTACAATATAACTAGGAATGGATGGATGGGTACAAAGTTTTTTAAATTAAGACTCGATCAATTAATTAATTTTCTACAAAACCTCCTTTTTTAGCTATGTATTTTTTCAAAAAAGTTCAAAACAAATTTATTTATTTACTAATTTACAAATAGCAATTTAGATAATCTTAGTAGAAATAATAAGCTAATCATAAAAGAGAAAAATAACAAATTTAATTAATTATATTTATTAATACTAATTACTCCTACTTCATGTTTTCTCTACATAATTTATTATCAAAGTGCAATAAAATTAATTAAAAACATGTAAATTTGTGTAAATAAAAATACAGTAAGTAATTAATTAAGTATATAAATAATTCAATTTAAGGAGATTGATTTGTTCTTATCAAAAGTATTCCTTCTCATAAGAAATAAATGAGTAATAAGATCTCATTACTCTGTAAAAATATTTTTGATTGATTGATTAATTTTGCTTTTTGGTAGATGAAAACATGAAATTAGTTCTTTGTTTATAAATAAACTAGAATTACAAAAAATTACACCGCAAGCAAGCATGGCTAGATAATATGACGTAATTAATTAAATCAAAAATTTAATGTAATAATTTTGGTAATTATTCAAATTTGAGTATTATTATTACAATTTAAATAATAAGCCATTAAAAATAAATTTTGTTAAATAATTCCTAATAATAGTTCTTAATTTAGTTTAAATATTTTTTTAACCATTTTATATATTAAATTTAAGAAGAAAGCTAAGTGATGCTTTAAGTTTTAGTAATTAAATACTTTGTATTTCTTTAGAGTTAATTATGTAATTAGTTAGGCAATAACTTAACATATAACTGTAATAGAATTTAATTCAGCGAGTTTCACAAAGTAATTAAATAAAAATAGACCAGTTTCTGTTATAATTAGAAAGCAATTAATAAAAATACATATTTTTATTTAAAATATACTCTTTTATTACTGATTTAAAAAACTTCCTAGTTATTCCAAATAATGCATTTTTTAAAATAATCAACTAACTATATTACTAACTTCTCTCCTAACTAACTTAACCATCAAATATGATAATTGGTTAATTTAAAAGAAATAAATAAATAAGTAAGTATCTACTAATTAATTAGTACCATACTTAAGGTAAAAAGCTAAAATATAATTAGATATATTCGCAGGTAATTACATATCAATTTGTGATTAAAATATTAATTTGGTAGAAGGGAAGGCAAAATTTAGTCTAGCAATAACAATAAGGAAGATTATCAGGTTGTTGTTTTTTGTTAATAATAATTAAAAAGAAAGAAAGAAAGAAAAAATTTTTGATTCAATCTGTGAATATAAAGGTAGAACCAAAAATTAATTAGGACTAATAAGAGAAATTAAAACAATAATAATAGATAGAAAGGAGAAGTAATTGCAATAGAAATAAGTAGAAATCTCTTTAAAGAAAATAGTTGCTAAAATAATTGATTGACTTGATTGAAATAAAGATGAATAGATACACGCTGAAATTCAAAAACCCTGTTGAGGAGGATAAATATACTGAGTATTTGTATAATTAGAATATTTCTATATTCACTAAAACAATTTATATTTACATAATTGGGATTGGCTTTCCTTTTAGCATTGTTTCGTTTTTTGAAAATAAATATTCTTATTTCATCGTTGGATGTCTGACAATAATTACAAGTGCTGGCTTCCTCAAGCTCGTCAAGATTTTCCCTAAACTTTTTGAAAAAATAATTACGCTGATGAATTTTCTGTTGATTTTTCTTATAAGTTTTTAGATCTATTTCATGGATAAGGGCGTCGAGTATTCTGACGATAAGATTATTATTTTTTATGGAATGACTTCTTCTCAAACTTTATTTGTTGGCTACTTTCTCAACTAGAATTTTATGATGTTGTTTCTCTAAATTATAGCTTAAAACATTATTCTTACTCTTATTACTTGGAATCCTTCCTTCTTATAGGTCAGATGGGCTTATTTTTGCTCAAGCTTTTTGATTTTGTTGTTTCTTTATGAACAAATTCGCCTTAAAAAAAATAATTTTTAACTCTACTAATCTGAGTAAGAATGGGCACATATCATTAAAAATGGTCTTTCTTCTCCTATAATGACTGTCAGATACAATTAAAAGGAGAATTTCATACAAATGGAGATTATAAATAACAAGGCATAGAAACAGTTTGGCATAAAGACTTCAGAAGAATTTAAAGCTTTCTCTAGAATGGTTAAAGTTTTTAGTAAAGAAGCAATTATTGATGAAATCTTAGAATAAGAATAGCTCACAGTAAATCCTGAAAGAAAAAGTATTGGTAATCAAGAAAGGTAGGCACATTTAGACTTTACTCAGTAGAATGATACCGCTGAACATAATTAGGCACTTACTTTTGAAAATTAAATAATTTTATTAATCAAGAATTAAATTGTTCAAGAGAAAACAGAAAAGAGATTTTGTGTAAACATCAGCAGTAGTGGTGCGAATAACAGGAAAATTATTGATCAAAATAATAATAAAAATTTAAATTAAAAAACTTAAAATTTAGATAATTAACAATAGCAATAACAATCCATTTATCAATATAATTGCATTTATAATCCTTCCAAAGAAAGAAGTTTGATATAGAAATTTTCAGTTAAGCTATCTATATTTTAGCAATAATCTTAATACAATTGCTGCATAGTTGTTGAGGAAGAAAGTAGTGACCAAAAAATTAAAAGATTACAAAAAATGTATTAAAAATAGCAATCAAATTTTATGATTTAGTTTTTGCATATGTGGACAAAACTAAAAGCAACAATTGAAAAATAATCTAATTAGAACATAATTAGATCATATATTAAATTAGCGCTTAATTAGATAAATAACATAAAAACTCACATGCAGCAAATAAAAAAACAGACTGTCATCTCTAAGTAAGAATACAACAAAGAAACATTCTTAAAAGAAATCGTAGATAATATTTCTCAAACATTCTACTAATTCAAAGATTAATTGAAATTCGAATTCTCAAATTGCACGAATTAAACATTTATATGCTCAAACGTCCCTAGGATATGCTAGATATTGACTAATTTAATAGAAAATAGTCTAAAATACCAGCTTTATCCAACGAATACAATTGACTATAGCAATTCTACACAAGATTAAACACTTCAGTTTAATACATAATAATTGATTGATAGTCCTTAAACATCATAAAATACATTTATTAAACACAGTCCGAGTTATCTCTTTTTAAAACAAAATGAAATCACTTTTACAGAATGTCATGATTCATACAGAACATTAGCTATAAATATGAGTGAAAATAAAAGAAGTAGCCGAGCAGACATCCTAGTAAGTCCGAGATTGTAAAAAAATATTGTAAGAATAAAATTTGATCTAATTAAAGGCGAAAATGAAATATCTAATGTAATTAAAGTTTCAATTAAAGATAATAACCAAACAACTAAAATATCAGATTTACAAAACATACTCATTTTAATTGCTAACAAATTGCAAAACTCAGACTACTATAAAGAATTTAAGCATCTAGGATGGAAAGTTTCTCTCAACCTTATAGGCAAAATAGGACCCTTTTATGATATCTTCTTAAATCCAAACTATGTCAATGGAATATAAATTCATTTTTACATCTACCAAAACATAAATATTTTAGACCAAAACAACAAAGATGTGTTTTTCAAGAATAAAAACTTCGACATTGAATATGCAAAATCTAATTAATTTTGTTATAATACATAAAGAAAAACTCTCTGCTAGAAACAAGAGTTACCGGTTATTTCAATGTCTAACATAAGCATCTAACTTGACGATTCCAATAATAAATAATAAAATCCACCTAAAAATGAAGACGACCTCTCTACTTTACCTCAACTTAATATAGATGAATTAGTTCAGCCAGTTCATAAAGGTTACATTTCTGACAGATTTATCCTTGATAGCATTAAAGATAAATAATAATCATAAAATTGAATTAAATATTTTTCATTTAATTATCAACATATTCATTCTAAATCCTCATAAATTAAAACCAGACAAAAATCGCTTTATTTTAAATAAATTTGTACTTAATTCAATCTCAAAATAGTCAAATAAATATAAATTAAATTAGCCTTAGTTTTTTGATTTATTTGTAAAATATCATTTATATTTCCATTTTTTATTATTTATTTATTTATCTTGTTTTTTCTAAAAAATTACTTCGATTTCCACTTTTTTATTATTTATTTGTAAAATTATTTAAATTAAAATTTACAAATTCATTTTTATATTTACTTTTAATAAATTAGAATATTTACTGATATTTAAATAATAAATTATAATTAAAAAGTATAAAATAAACATTTTATTTAAAAATGCATGAATAATTTAATATTAATCATTTTTATTATAAGAAATAGTATGTATGCCGCTATTTAGATGTTTACCAACTATACATTTTATTATAAGAAACAGTATGTATGCCGCTATTTAGATGATTCAAGATTTATTCTTTAATGATTAAATTTTAGATATAGAAGAATTTTATAATTAAAATGATGTAATTTATATTCTTATTTAATAATTAATATTAAATACAATTTTATAAAATTATTTTTTATATTTTTAAATTTTCTTTCTCGTTAATTAAGGCTTGCAAATCAATTTTTTTAAGATAATCTTAACATTAATTTGTTTTTGAAATTATAATAGATTAAATTAATAATTAATTATAATTCTATTATAAAATATATATATAAATTAGATTTTTTAATAAATAAATAAAAATATATTTCATAATAAGTGTCAGGCAAACCATGAAATTTTTGTTTGTATGGAATAATGCTATAATTAGAAATATTATAATTATTCCTAAAATTACAGAGCTAAAACACATTAACTACCAGGTTTTTTTCAAATATTATTAAATAAATAACTGGCTGTCCTTAATTCCTACTATATTTTTAAGTATATGTTTTAAATATAAATATTAAGTTTAAATAGTGAATGTGATATCTCTTCATAAAACCAAATATATAAATTAATATTTGATAATTAATTAATTAATTATTATATTTATTTGTTCTTTTTATCCATTTACAATTAATTAATTAATTAAATTTCATAAACTGCTATTCAATATTTTTGAAAAAAAAAATAAATGATATAATAGATTAGTTATAACAATGGTTTAACAAAAGTAATTATTAATTTTTTTATTAATATCCTTTTAATTTAAATAAATTAATAAAAAAAGTTTTTAAGCTCTTCATTTTTATCCCATTAGGTTCTCCGTATTTATCTGAGGTATATTTAATTAAAAAATATTATTTTTATTATTATTAATATTTTTTGTTTATTTTATTTTAAATTTATTTAAATAAATAATTTATGTAAAAGAAATTATCATCATTATTTATTGATTTTTATTAAAACTTAAATTTTTTAGCAATTTTAACTTATTTTCATTTCAATTTTTAATTATTTATTGATTATTCATTTTTTATTATTTGATATTTTTTCTTCATTTTTGCTATTAAAACTTACACTTAATAAAAGCTATTTATTTGTTTTACATTATAATATTTTTAATTATAAAAGTTAATTTAAAACATTAAAGTTCTTTTAATTTATTTGATTTGATTTGTTTTCCTTTTTCTTTTTATTATGATTTATTATTTTTTAATTCTTTGTTAATTTTATTAATTTTTAATTAATTTTATTATTTCATATTTTTTCTTCATTTTTTCCTCCTAATTAACTATTGTGAAATGCATATTTATGCTAATTTTTAGAAAGCATAACATATCTTTTTTTTGAAAAAAATAAATTTTGAAAACCTAGGATGGAAAAAAATTCATAAAAATTATTTAAAATTTTTATTTTATAAAATGAAAAATTGGCTTATAAAACTCACTTTTTGTAAATTTTAATAGTAACTTACTCTATTTAATGTTATATTTTTTCTTCATTTTTTCCTTCTAATTAACTATTTAATGATATATTTTTTCTACAATATTTAAAAAGTGGAAATTATATTGGTTATTAAGCTGCATCAGACTTAGTTTCTGCTTTAGCAAATTGCATTAATCTCTCGAATTTGAAACTTAACCTTTCGTAAAAACAGTTTATTTGATTTGGATTGTGATAATTTTAATTATAAAAACTAATTACAAACAATAAAGCTCTTTATTCTTTTTCTTTTTATTGTGCTTGCTTTTTTTTGTTCTTTCTTTGTTAATTAAGCTCATCATTTTATTTTCAAATTTTGCTTTTATTATTAATTAATTAATCTTTTTATTTCATATTTTTTCTCATTTTTTTTTTCTAATTAACTATTTAATAATATATTTTTTCTTCAATATTTAAAAAGTGGAAATTAAATTGGTGCAATGGGTGCATCAGGCTTAGGTTCTGCTTTAGCAAATTGCATTAATCTCTCGAATTTGACACTTAACCTTCGGTAAAAACAGTTTATTTGATTTGAATTGTGATAATTTTAATTATAAAAACTAATTACAAATAATAAAGCTCTTTATTCTTTTTCTTTTTACTGTGCTTGCTTTTTTTTGTTCTTTCTTTGTTAATTAAGCTCATCATTTTATTTTCAAATTTTCCTTTTATATTATTAATTAATTAATCTTATTATTTCATATTTTTTCTTTATTTTTTCCTTCTAATAAACTATTTAATGATATATTATTTCTTCAATATTTAAAAAGTGGAAATTAAATTGGTGCAATGGGTGCATCAGGCTTAGGTTCTGCTTTAGCAAATTGCATTAATCTCTCGAATTTGACACTTGACCTTGAGTAAAAACAGTTTATTTGATTTGAATTGTGATAATTTTAATTATAAAAACTAATTACAAACAATAAAGCTCTATATTCTTTTTCTTTTTACTGTGCTTGCTTTTTTTTGTTCTTTCTTTGTTAATTAAGCTCATCATTTTATTTTCAAATTTTGCTTTTATTATTAATTAATTAATCTTATTATTTGATATTTTTTCTTTTTTCCTTCTAATAAACTATTTAATGATATATTATTTCTTCAATATTTAAAAAGTGGAAATTAAATTGGTGCAATGGGTGCATCAGGCTTAGGTTCTGCTTTAGCAAATTGCATTAATCTCTCGAATTTGACACTTTACCTTTAGTAAAAATAGTTTATTTGTTTTGGATTGTGATATTTTTAATTATAAAAACTAATTACAAACAATAAAGCTCTTTATTCTTTTTCTTTTTACTGTGCTTGCTTTTTTTTGTTCTTTCTTTGTTAATTAAGCTCATCATTTTATTTTCAAATTTTGCTTTTATTATTAATTAATTAATTTTTTTCCT